GGCTTCAAACAAATTATAAAATCACTCTAGGCCTTACTTCTATTTCTGAAAAGGAGTGAGATTATTACTATCTCCAAATTGTGAAGATTCAGTGAGATACTGCACACAAAGTGCAGAAAGTGCAGGTACGTGGCACATGAGCCTTTAGTAACAATAGCCGTTAGCATCAAAAGCAGGTGGAAAAGGGAAAGTTAATTAAGGGGTAATGTGTCACTCAGAATAGCCCAAGTTATGCTACAGGAACAACTACCACGAAAATCTCAGTGGCTTAGCACAACTACAGTTAATTTCTTGCTCACATTCAGCCTACTGTGGGTCTGAGCTCAGTGTCCCAGGCTGCCCCACTCTGCATCTCACACCTTGTGGTTCTTTCTCAGTAACTACAGCAAGGAAAAAGCATGGAGACTCATACATCAGCTCATACAGACTTCTGCCTAGAAGTAACACAAATCACTATTGCTCATCAACTAAAGCAAATCACACAGACATATCCACATTTAAGAGGACAGAAAAGTATAATCCTTTATTATGTCCAAAAAGAGAAGAAGAACCAGAAATATTGATGATCACTAATAATGTTTTCTTAGGTCAGGCTCTCAGAATTTTTTGTGATGTTCTCGACTCTTTCCTATGAAATATGAAACACATCCATGGGACCTCTGTGTTGGTGGTATTAGCTTTAAGAATCACTTCTTCTGTAATCCCAGCACTTTGGGAGGCCGAGACGGGCGGATCACGAGGTCAGGAGATTGAGACCATCCTGGCTAACACAGTGAAACCCTGTCTCTACTAAAAAATACAAAAAACTAGCCGGGTAAGGTGGTGGGCGCCTGTAGTCCCAGCTACTCAGGAGGCTGAGGCAGGAGAATGGCGTAAATCCAGGAGGCGGAGCTTGCAGTGAGCCGAGATCCAGCCACTGCACTCCAGCCCGGGCAACAGAGCGAGACTCCGTCTCAAAAAAAAAAAGAATCACTTCTTGTATGTCCTACCACATCTCTCAAATTTTTCCTCTGCTGAAAATAAACTGAGCTTTGCAAAAGTATTTCTGCTTCAGAATTCAAACCTACTCCAGGAAACCTGAGAATGCAGATTTTAAAAATGAACACTCCCACAACACAGTATGTGAATATAAATGTAAACACACACATGTACACATCCCAACTTTGTAGAAAATATCTAATAATTCGACTAATCCCCTTTAAAACTGGAGGAAAGATTTCTAGTATTGATCAGGAACAAATTTTCAACAAGTTCATATTAACTGCTTAAAGTTAGACCACCAACTCAGGAGAAATAACAAGGTGTGTCATATGATTAGGAGATTTCAAATAAGCTTCTACTAAATAAGCAGGTTCTTTAGGAAGCACAGGAGTTGGTGACTGCATTTCAGAGGCATAAAAGAAAATAGTAAAAGACATGAATTCCAGTCAAAGTGGCAAAAATAAGCAATCTGCCACAGCCACATGGGCTCCTCAGCATTCTTTTGCTGGAGGCACAAAGCAGCACTGGGGCCTTGGCAAGCTGCTGAGCAGGAACAAACAGGGACCACAAGTCACCAGTGATTGTTCTTTTCTGTCAAGCTTTCCCAGGGACATTTTTGTTAGATCTGAAGTCTGACAGTTTGCCTTGGGCACTTTATGTCACAAAGGATAAGACAGACTCAAAAAAAGGCTTTCTCTTCCAAGCCTCAGGGTTTTACCTAAAAGCAAGCCAAAAGCCTGGTTTCTGAATCCAAATGCTGATCCAGGCAAACCCGTCCATGGCTGACCACTACCAGGGAATATCTGACTACCCTCTTTCCTTCTTACTCCCTGCCCCTGCCCCCTTGCTTTCCTCAATCCAAGAAATTAATTCATCTTCCCTTTTCCAATCCTGGAACCCCTCCTTCTTTCAGATAACACAGCACGGATTCTAACCAGGAGGTCTGGTTTCCGGCAGCAGGAGCAGAGTGTCTTTTACCTGCCTATCCTGATAGCAGACAGCGGGCAGCCCGTGCTGAGCAGCACAGGCACACTGACCATCCAAGTGTGCAGCTGTGATGACAATGGCCACGTCATGTCCTGCAGCCCAGAGGCCTACATGCTCCCAGTCAGTTTGAGCCGGGGTGCCCTCATTGCCATCCTGGCCTGCATCTTCGTCCTCTTAGGTGAGTAAGGGGCTGCTTTCCCTTCTGTGGAGTCCTGCCAGTGCTCACTCAGACATCCATTCATTACCTTCCTGACACAGCTATTTAGAACTGATCCTCCACACCTTGCTTACTCAAAAGGTGGTAGAGTGAGGCTGCAAAAATACAGTAAAGAAACTGAGGACAGTCCCTTCTTCAAGGTGTCTGTGGTAAGATCAAAGCACATATACTTACGAAGTATCTACTATGAGCTGGGGCACCATACAAGGTGCTAGGATTAATAAAACAGACACATCCTGGCCTTCCTGAGTTTACTTCAGAACAAAGCAGGCTTGTTTTGACATCATAGAATCAAAATTACAATTTAGACAGGATTTGATGATCACCTCTTCTAACCCCTTCATTTAAGTAATAGCTAAGTCACAAAGGGGTAAGTGACAGGCTCAAAACCAAAGTCAGAGGCAGAGCCAGGGCTGAAATGCAGGCAGGTCATACACACTGGGCACCCCTGTGGCTCAACAGCACTGCCTTTCTCCTAAACGCTCATCCCGATTCTGGAGGTGGTATTACAGGGAAGGGAAGAGGGATAAGGTATCCTGGTTGGACAAGTGACAGGGATAGATGCCATTTCAAACAGGGTAGTCAGGGAATCCCTCACTGATAAGACCTTTGAGCAGAAAGCTAAAGGAAGTGATGGTGTGAACCACACATATTTCTGGAGAATAAGCTGTTTGGGGTGATTAGTACCCCTCCCAGGCACCATGGCCATCTAACCAGGAACGGCAACTAAACAGGGTCAGTTTTCCTCTACTGATGAAATAAGGGCATTACAGGCCAGTAGTGGGAGAGCACTACTGGGGTTAAGTAACCCTTCCTTCCTCCTCTCAAGTCATACTGCAAGGCGGCTCCCCAACTCCCTGGTATGTAAGGCCATCCTTGCAATTGTTTTCTAATTCCACACTCAAAAACAGAGAAACAAAAACACTTAAACCAACTCTTGCAAAAAAGAAAATATCTGTACGTATATCCTTGCTCTTCTTATTGAACCAATCTATAGCAAATATATCTTGCTTAGAGAAAAACAGATTTAGTAGATACTAGTATTATTCAATATAAAAGAAATCTGAGTTTTCTGAGAGAAAAAGCCCTGAGGATTGAAATTAGAATAGAGGTACAGATATTCACATACACCCTTGATCCCAAGTTCACTTCTATACCAAGAGACAGATCAAAGAAGTTCCTGTGAAAAATGTCGGCACTTGATTTTCTAGGTAGGTCTGTGGAATGTGCTTCTTAAAATACATAGGAAAATACAACATGTGGTTTAATTTTGTTTTTTTGGTTCAGCCCTATGCAAAGAGAGAAAGAGTATAAATAAGTAACCTTTCTAAGTTCTTGGATCCCTGCGTCAGACAAAATTGTTACGGTTTCTGGACCCTGACTGCATTGACAAGTAAAACCTCCCTGCAATTCCTTGAGTTTCCATAAGGTGGCATTGGGGGTCCTTGAGTGCAGAACGGACAACCTGTAAGAGGCCTTTGAAGAAACTTGTTCCTGGGAGAAATTTCCAGACTGGCTGTCCTTACTTCTATCTTTGGAAAATGTCGAAGTTAAAAGTTCACTCTGGCCCACAAAAAGCCATCATTACAGAAATACTGATTTAAAGAGACTGGCTTGGAGAGGCTCTCAAGTTAAAAATGGTGTGCAAGGGACAATTTATTTTATCCCTCCCCACCCATGATGATGTCTTGTCTTTTGAACTGTACAGAAAAAGTAAACTGTTTTCAGGAGCTAAATTGAGCAGAGCTGTCATAAAATCCTCACAGTTTTAAGTACTCTTACTTCTAAGAGTACGCATCCCACATTAAGAATAATTCATGAAACTTTAAGATTTGAGTTGCATTTGTCAACAAAATACTACATTTTATGGACAACTAAATTAATTCGGACTTCGTGGGGTTTTTATTTCATGTCTCACATATTTATGTAGTTCCTAGAAAATCTCATAAGCTCTATGCACCATGCCTACAGTACCCAAAGAATAAACCATCCCTAGAACTAATTCTCTTCGGTCAGAGAAGACTTTCAGCTAAATAAGACCATTTTCCTCAAAATCTGATTTTCAGGGCATTATATAATATTTGTTATTTAAATTAGATTACCCAAAAAAAAAGAAAAAGAAAAGACATGTAGCAATCTTTATTTTTCAAGAAACGGACTAGTTCTATACAAACGGCCCACTTCTCCATGACCATCAGAATTCTCTCCAGCAAGGTACTCAAAAGACTTCCAATTTTGCTTCCTAGCATTTTCCGAAATACCACCCCTACCACTTCAAGGTCACCTCTGTGAAGCCCTTCTCAGTCTCCCAAGTAAAATTCACTGGCCCTGCCTCTGTACTCTCCTGGTGACACTTGTGGCTCTAATAGCCCTTATCACTGTCTGACTTGCATTAATTATCAGCATCCATAATCTCCTTAGATTACAAGCTCGCAAGAGCAGAATCCATGTCACACTCAATATTGTTTCCCCATTGCTTAGCATAGAGCCTTAAAAATATGTGGCTTTAATAACTTTACTGAAACACAGCATGCTCACTTCGAACCTCAGGTCTCCAACTTGCATCAATCCAAATCACACTCCAACCTTTCATGCTCGATTCAAGCCCTCACTTCCTTAAAGTCCTATTAGTCTCTTTTTCTCTAGGAATCCCACCATCCTTTTAGTCCACGCCTCGTATTTTTGCACACAGAGAAAATATACACAAGCATATCATCGTTTCCTGTGTATGTTTTGTCACCAAAGCTATCCGGGAAAATATTACATATTAATGTCATTAATCGCAATTTATAAAAAAGCACATCTACATTCAAAAAAATTTTTAAATCACTGTTGTGAGTTTTATTAGTCTGTAATCCTTTACTGCATGTACGAATGTACTCCACTTTTTCCCCTTGGATGAACTGGGGTCTTATTCTGCAGTGCTGTCAAACGGTCACTGTTCACTAGCTGTAACAAAGTACACCAGAAAAAAAAAAAATCAATAGCAGTTCTACAGCTAAAACCTCAACACTCTTCCTGGAAAACGTTTTCAGTCAGAGAGATAAATAGCTCAATGGGATTATCTCTATCTCTCCTTTAAACCCCGGCGAACACATTCTAGGCGGGGGGGGGAAATGCATTTGCTGGGATAAAATTTTATCCAAACCTGCAAGGGCACATCTAACAGTGTGGTGTTTCTTTAATAACATGATGAATTATATAAAATGCCACTGCTCATTCTCTCCCTTCCATAAACACCCTTGGGTCCAGAAAGCCACAACCGCCTAATGAAAGGCTTCTCTGAAGAACCTGAGTTTACTGGACCCCAGGGATCACTTACGTTCTGTTGTTTTTTAGAGGTATAAAAAGACTACAACTTTGGCGCATACTTAGTATTTGTATCTCTACGCATATTAAGAAATGATTATATACAGAGTAGAATCCTATTAAGATGTCAATATAAGGAAGCAGCATTCCCCCTACATAAGACTTCCACATTCCACATTATAAGAAGAGAAAAGTATATTTACCATCATATAAACAGAGCACATGATCTAGTCCTTAGAGTATGTTGGTCCATAACAGGCCTTTGTGCTTTGTTAATTGGATTTTAAATCGGGTGTTAGGTGTAGAGACACACACAATTTCAAAACAGCACGCCGCTGTTAAGAGACTATATGCAATTTTTTCTAATTAAACCATTTAAAGAAATACAGGGCTTCACTGTCCACAACCTGACTTACAGAAAGAGAACAAGGTGGACTTAAATTAGAATTCCCCGAAGTTTCAGATATCCAAAAGCTATCTGAGCTCTCTCCACTCGGTAGCTCTTCCCCTAACCGTGGTCAATCAAGACTATTTCTACTCACCGCGCACACAGCCACATCTCCTCGGTAAACAGACTCTCCTTTTTCTTCCTCGCAGTGCTAGTGTTGCTCATTTTGTCCATGAGGCGGCACCGGAAACAACCATACATCATCGACGACGAGGAAAACATCCACGAGAACATCGTCCGCTATGACGACGAGGGCGGCGGCGAGGAGGACACCGAGGCCTTCGACATCGCGGCCATGTGGAACCCCCGGGAGGCGCAGGCGGGGACCGCCCCCAAGACGCGGCAGGACATGCTGCCCGAGATCGAGAGCCTCTCCCGCTACGTGCCTCAGACGTGCGCAGTGAACAGCACTGTCCACAGCTACGTGCTGGCCAAGCTCTACGAGGCCGACATGGACCTGTGGGCGCCGCCCTTCGACTCCCTTCAGACGTACATGTTCGAAGGCGAAGGCTCTGTGGCGGGGTCGCTGAGCTCCCTGCAGTCGGCCACGTCGGACTCGGAACAGAACTTCGACTTCCTGACGGACTGGGGGCCGCGCTTCCGGAAGCTGGCCGAGCTCTACGGGGCGTCGGAGGGCCCCGCGCCGCTGTGGTGACGGAAGCGAGGAGGCAGGCGCGCGTCCAAATCCAGACGTTCTCCGCAGGTGCTTCGCGGACAAGGTGCAGCCGACCACACGAGCAATACTGTGCTGGAGAGTGAGAATGGGGGAGAGAGGGCGAACAGAGCTCTCTCTGGATCAGCTTTACTTGGGTAGATTAAGTTAAATAAGCAAAAGGAAACCCAGGAAGTAGAGGGCAGAATCTTCAATTACCTTTTTTTCTTTTCTTTTTGATTTTTCTCACACTGTGCGAAGGCCTGGAGTCCAACGTGTTATGACAAGGGTGACTTTGGTCGCTTTTCCACCACAGAAAGGCTCTGGCCTTGGATACAGAGATGCCAGTTGAAAGCAGAAAGTTCTACTCTCATATCCGTTTTTTATCTTATTCTCCATTTAAGAGTTTTGCTGGCTCATCAAACCACAGATACCAACCCACAAGAAAGAACAGAAAACTTGTTACTCAGTAAAATTAACCTACTTGTTCTGGGATGGATGGAATTTATCGTAACCCTTTTGAGACAAGGTTAAAACTGAATCAGCCTTGCATGGGGGTGGATGGGTGGGGGGGGTGGGTGAAGGAAGAGACATTGACTTTATGCTCAAGTTTAGTGGCTGAACCAAGAGATGTTGGCATTACAGCTCATCCAACGCCATCAAGTTAGAGTGCTCGCGTCTCCTCTCAGCTCTTTAACTGTGCCCCTGCAAAATTGTTCGGAATGAAACCAGAAAGACCTGCCTCTTTTGCACTGTAGATGTCTCTTCCATGTGCCAAATGTGGAGATTAGATGCTACAAATGAAAGCCAAATAAAAAGAAGTATCTGATAAAAGCATGGGTTAGAGGGCTTTCCTAATCTGTGTGAGGTCAATCCAAGGGATGTTTACATACTGTAGATAACCTACTTGAACAAAAATCAGTATTATAGAGAATAAATGGATGTAAGAAAATTACATGTACAAGTTTTGTATATTTGTTAATAATTTTGGTAATAAATATGATGTACTGCATCTCAGTACCTTAGCACTTCTTTTAATAAAAGTTAAATAGAAGGAAAAGTCTATTGCGAATTTGTTTAATTGCTGAACAGGTAGAAGATGGCTTTGTAATCCGGATCTACCTCAGGCTCCCAGGGTTGGGGCTAATTTGTAAGGCAAAAGCACTGGCAAAGAAGTGTGAGGCTGCATTCTATTTCAGTCGCTAACCATATGAACATTATGGTTGAAACTGTTAAGCTTTTAATGAACACCCTCCATTTCTTCATCCCTGAAGAGAGCAAAGGGTGGTTTGGTAAGATCAATGATACAATGGTGAATTTAGCACATATTTTTCATTTTGCAAAAGGGTATTACCCATAGCCGCCAATGAGGCAGGCTGCTGTGCTACTTACATCTCTATTTCATTGGCAAATTGAGCTCACAGATGGTTGCAACCATATTTTATTCATCTTTCCTTTTGCTACAGTAGCTAGCGTACTCTTCTGCATACAGTAGGTGCTTAACACATACTTCATGGCTACACGATGGGAAGGATCTCTTTGTTTGACATTCTGTTACTAAAAAATATTTTACACAACAATCTTCACAATTGAGGACAAATTGTGAACAAAATCATTGCCTGAGAGCCTTGATTGTAGCAACAGTTCTCAAATTTTAATGCATCAGAATTACCTGAAGAAATTGTTAAACTACCTCACCCCTAGATTTTCTGATTCAGTCGATTTGGGGCAGTTTGTATTTCTAACATGTTCCCAGGAGATGCTGACGCTGCTGGTCCAGGAACCACATTTTGAAAACCTCTGGTATGCAGTTACTCACTCTCCAACACATGAAGATTAAACTATATCCCATCTGCATTGGGTCCCATCTTCCCACAGAGTGGTGTTGTGAACTGTTTTCCCAGTACAACATGAAGAGTTTACAGAAATGTATGAGAAAGCTGATGAGGGTCTGGTAGGCAGTAGGATGTGCTTTTTTGCATATTACACATTACATGGTACCATTACATGGTACATTAGCAGCCACCAAATTCTCTTCAGCCTTCAGCATACTAACACTTTCTTCTCATGAAAGGCAGGCAGCTCTCACACATCCTCCTCAAGGATAGAGTGCAATGTAAAAATAAATACACTTAACAAAGCAAAAGAAAAAGCATGGACTTGAGTCCAAACTAGGCTTTACAATATACCAATTATATGGATGTAGGAAAATCAACCTCTATAACATTCTTCCTTCCTACCACAGCCCTGAGGATAATTTTGTGACTATTTCACTTTGTATTGCTTGTGTTACAACTGAGAACAGCTGTTATCCTAACCACAGGGGGTTATCATGCCCCACATCCTGCAAATGTGGTCCCCATGATATTGGGCATGAAGTGATTAAACAAAATCTCCTGAATCTTCTGGTCCCTGGGAGGATGTTTAATGGTATAATATAGGAAGTGTGAATGAAGCACAAAATAGATCTATTTCAGCTTCGTACTCTAAGCTAAAAGAGATTCCCACTCCAAATGAATTTTAAAATTCCCTTACTACTGCCACAATGTAATACAAATGCTGATCCCTCTGGGAATAAAGAAAAAGAAAACCATCATCATCTCCATACAGACAATGTGATCAGGTTAAGCTGGAGAGCTGTAAAATCATTCAGCCATTTCTTTGTCAACAGGTACAACAGCTAGCCTGTAATTTACATGTTGGAAACAGGAGAATCTGTAGAAACCAATTGATAAGACTCAATCTGAAACTGTATACTGAATAAGAGCACAAGCAAAGATAAAAATTAGCAATGAATTTTCCACATCTAAAAAAGAGAATATTCAAGCACGGCATATAGCAAAGACAAAGATGGGGTGGTTCACACAAGAAAGAATCTATGAATCCTGAAAATGGAATTTGACAAGTTAAAAATCAGTGCAGGCACATTGATTAAAAGTTGTCATTAGTTCACTAATAATGCAGAACTAGGCCTTGATGACAGAATTCACAGTATTTCCATGTAGTGCTAGGACTATATGAATGTAAGACAGACACACTTTACAAGTAGTTCCCATTGCAGATTGACTCACTGTCATATCCATTTGTCATTTTTACAATAAAGAACCTTCAACATATTATTATACATAAATACCTAGATTAGGGAAGCTTCTGCTTTATTCGTAAAGATCAAGTTTCTGATAGAGGAAGTGGATAAAATTAGGCTAAGTGGTCCTCTTTTTTATTTTTTTAAATTATATTTTAAATTCTACGGTACATGTGCACAACGTGCAGGTTTGTTACGTAGGTATACATGTGCCATGTTGGTGTACTGCTCCCATTAACTCGTCATTTACATTAGGTATTTCTCCTAATACTATCCCTTCCCCCTCCCCCGACCCCATGACAGACCCCGGTGTGTGATGTTCCCCACCCTGTGTCCAAGTGTTCTCCTTGTTCAATTCCCACCTATGAGTCAGAACACGCAGTGTTTGGTTTTCTGTCCTTCCGCAACATTGCTCAGAATGGTTTCCAGCTTCATCCACATCCCTACAAATGACATAAACTCATCCTTTTTCTATGGCTGCATAGTATTTTATGGTGTATATGTTTCACATTTTCTTAATCCATTCTATCATTGATGGACATTTGGGTTGGTTCCAAGTCTTTGCTCTTGTGAATCGTGCCACAATAAACATATGTGTGCATGTGTCTATATGGTAGCATGATTTATAATCCTTTGGGTATATATCCAGTAATGGAATTGCTGGGTCAAATGGCATTTCTAGTTCCAGATCCTTGAGGAATCGCCACACTGTCTTCCACAATGGTTGAACTAGTTTACAGTCCCACCAACAGTGTAAAAGTGTTCCTATTTCTCCACATTCTCTCCAGCACCTGTTGTTTCCTGACTCCTTAATGATCACCATTCTAACTGGTGAGAGATGGTATCTTCATTGTGGTTTCGATTTGCATTTCTCTGATGGCCAGTGATAATGAGCATTTTTTCATGTGTCTGTTGCCTGCATAAATGTCTTCTTTTGAGAAATATCTGTCCACATCCTTTGCCCACTTTTTGATGGGGTTGATTATTTCTTGTAAATTTTTTAAGTTATTTGTAGATTCTGGGTATTACCCTTTGCCAGATGGGTAGATTGCAAAAATTTTCTCCCATTCTGTAGGTTGCCTGTTCACTCTGATGGTAGTTTATTTTGCTGTGCTCTTTAGTTTAATTAGATCCCATTTGTCTATTTTGGCTTTTGTTGCCATTGCTTTTGGTGTTTTAGTCATGACATCCTTGCCCATGCCTATGTCCTGAATGGTATTGCCTAGGTTTTCTTCTAGGATTTTTATGGTTTTAGGTCTAACATTTAAGTCTTTAATCCATCTTGAATCAATTTTTATACAAGGTGTAAGGAAGGGATCCAGTTTCAGCTTTCTACGTATGTCTAGCCAGTTTTCCTAGCACCATTTATTAAATAAGGAAACCTTTCCCCATTTCTTGTTTTTGTCCAGTTTGTCAAAGATCAGATGGTTGTAAATGTGTGGTGTTATTTC